CTTTCTAAGTGATTGTTCAATGGTTATTTCTTTAGTTTTCTTTTTTTACCAGTTCTTTTAGCAGAATTCAATACTTTCCTGGGCCAAGTATGGTAGTCATAACAAATGAAAGTGATAACATTTATCAGTACATTGTGTGGTATATCAGTTACGCATTGCTGTATAATAGGTAACCACCAACCATGTGGCAGACACAATACATTTGGAGCTCATGAGTCTTCCACAGAGGGGTTGGCTCCATAGCATAGCTGATCTTGGCTGGATTTGCTCACATGGCTGGGAGTTGGCCAGTCGTAGACGTACTTAACAGGATGGTCTCCGCTGAGGCAATAGCATAATGTGGCTCATCTTCCTTCAGCAGACCAACCTGTCCTCATGGAGAGGGCCAAGGTTCCGGAGAACAAATGAAAACACACACAGCCTCTTGAGACCTTGCCTCAGATTTCCCCACAATCACTTTTATCTCATTCTATTGTCCGCAGCAAGTCCAATGGCTGAGCCAAGAGGCACTACAGAGTTAAATGGCAGCGTATTAATGGGGCGAGGTGGGGGCAGGCGTGAAGAATTGGGGCCACTCTAGTAATCTGCTGCTCTAAGGACTATGATTCGCTTTTAGTAGCAGGGTGCCCAAGCCCAGCTCACCAAACCAGAGTTTCAAAGGAAGATTATGAAAATCTTAGAGCTCACCACGATAGTACAAGGGGGGAAATGTGTATGTAAGTGGGCTTCTACATTGCAAACCGATGTTGTTCAAGGGTGCACTCTATAGTCTTTTGTGACTGGTTTCTTTGACTTAAAGGAGGCCTGGGTTATGTGTTGGACTGCTAGCCATAAGGTGGGCCTAAAATTTCAGCTTAATATGGAGAAACCATGGAACCCTGGTAGTATAATGGTTATGTTTTGGGCTGTGATCTGCATGGTCAGCAGTTCAAAACCACCAGCAGCTCCTGGGGAGAAAAACTGGGCTTTCTAATATCATAAACAGTTAAACAGTCAGAAAACCACAGGGCGACACTATAAGTCAGCATGGATGTGAGGGCAGTGCGTTATTAACTATGAGATGTCCTGGTGCAGTGAGTGTTAGAGTGGGCATACTAACCACAATATCAGGGGTTCAAACCCACCCAGCGTTCCACGGGAGAAAGATGGGGCTCCCTCAAGAATTGATCATCTCAGAAACCCACAGAGGCTGGTCAATTCCGTCTTCTCACGTCTCTAGGAGTCACATTGACTTGATAGCAGTGAATTCGAGTTTTCTTTGACTTAGCATAGTTCTTCCAGGGCTTATTCATATTATATCTTGTATCAGAACTTCACTCTTTTTTATGGCCAAGTTAGATTCTACTGCATGGATACTTCACATTTTGCGTATCCATTCCTCAGTGGATGAACATTTGAGTGGCTACCATCGTCTGACTATTATGAATATAATGCTGTAAACATTTGCGCTTGTATTTTTGAGAAGACGAGTGTTCACATTTCTGTTGGTTATAAATTGAGGCTTGGAATTCCTGGGTCACACGGTTCATTCACTCGCTCACAGCTATTGAGTGGATTTGACTCATGGAGACCCCCAAGGGCAGAGTAGAACTGTCCCTGTGGGTTTCCAAAGCTGTAAATCTTTATAGGAGCAGAAGCCTCATCTTTCCTGAGGAGTGACTGGTGAGCTTGAACAGCTAAACTTGTTGTTCGTAGCCCAACTTGTAACTCACAGTATTACTAGAGCTCGTGGTTACGCCGTTTCATCATTCGAAGACCTGCTAGATTGTTTTCCAAAGTGGTTGCTCCATTTCACATTCCCACCAGCAATGTCCTGGGATTCCAGTTTATCCATATAAAACGAATTAGTTTAAGCTAGTCCACCAATGTTGTAGCAATCAGAGGGGCTGGTGTTGCAAACATTTTTTTCAGTGGTTCTTTTCTGCCCAGAAGCTCCCAGACCTCGATAGGCAGGCAGGTGTCTCGTGCACCTGATACTACCTGCTGGGAAGAAGGCCTGGAGATCTAGCAACGATTTATCTCATTCATCCTGGAATGATCCCGCCCCTCACACATGCACCACTTTCTCTGGGTCAACGACAGCTCAAGGAATCTTTCTGAATCAGGATGGTCATAGCCCACAGCGAGCTGGTGGCCGAGAATGTGTCATTTCATGATATGAAGACAGTGTGAGTTCTTTGGAAGTTTGATTTTCAATTATCAAAGTGATCCAGATAGGTAATACACCTCAACACACTTATGTGACTGGTAGCTTCTTATACAAGTTCTCTGCTGTTAATGTGCTTATGAATTCCCTGTGTGTGGTGATGGGTGGTGGGGGAGGGTGGCATCATGTTAAAATGTAGACTCTGAGTCATGGGAAAGGAGGGGGTGGGAGAGCAACCCTAAGGTAATGCATTTCTAACAAAGTCCCATGGGGTGTGATGCCGGGGAGTGGGGGAGTGGATGGGGTGGGGGTGGGGGCCACCATGGACCACACTTTGGATCACAAGGGGGCCAATTCCAATCGACGTTCATGTGAAAGCATTGATTTGAACTTAGTAATGGTGGCAATTCAAGGATTTGAAGGCAGAAAGCTCATCTGAAGGTCCAAAGTGATAAAAATCACTTTTTTTTTTAACCAAAGAAGGAAAAGTTTTCTTAGCAAAACGCTACCGTTCACCTTTCAATGACACCAGAGCCAGTGGGAAAAGCGGACAGCAGACATTCCCAGGAATGCAGCGCTCCACCGAGGGCAGGGAGGTTGAACAAAGGGATGTGAGGTGTGCCAAAGCCAGCACGGCTGCGAAGACAGCTCGGTTATTTTTCACTTGGGATTGGCCTTGTCCATGCGCACTGGCTCTCTGCTGATGTTCCACCTTGTGAGCGAAGACGCTCTGAGGTTGCGCCAGTGGTTTCCTAAGCATGCAATGTGCAGCACCAGCTGACCTGGAGGTCCACTTCAACAATGTGGGGGAACCTGGAGACCATGTTGACCCATAACAGAGGCAGTTAAACATCAACTCGGATGACCCATTTAAGCCAAGAGTCTGGGTCATCACAGGTAAAGGATAGTTTAAATATACTCACATGCGGTAAAGGTAGGGGACAGTGGCAGGAGAGAGAAGATGATTTTTAGACTTGTATCCTCTGAGTTTGAATTTCTCTTTCTCAACCTGTGGCCTTAGTTGAAATCAAGTTGGTTTTCACTCACAGCAGTGCTGTAGAGAGTCGAACTTCAGCATAGGGTTTCCTGGGCCGCAGTCTTTTCAGGACCAAGTCTTTTCTTCTGTGGATTCTGTTGATAGGTTCAAAGTGAAGACCTTTTGGTTAGTAGCCAAGCACTTACCCATTGAACCACATGGGCTCCTTGCATTTAAACTTGAGGTATCTTGTTAAAATGCCTGGTGGCCAAGTGGTGTTCAATTGCTAACCCAAGGGTTGGCAGTTGAAACCCACCAGCTGCTGTGAGAGAGAAAGATGTAGCTCTCTCTTTCAATAAAGATTAAAACCTTGGGGGAGGGGGGTGGGGGTGGATATTAAAACCTTGAAGACCCAATGGGGAAATGCAACTCTATCCTAAGGTCACTATTTCTGAGGTCCTATTTCTGAGGTCACCATTAAGTTGGACTCAACTCAACGGCCATGGGATTAGTTATCTTATTATGGGTCCTTGGTGGCACAATGGTTAAGCACTCTTCTGCTAACAGAAAAGTCAGTGGTTCCAACTCACCAGCAGCTGCAAGAGCAAAAAGACCAGATGATCAGCTCCTATAAAGGTTACAGCCTGGGGAACCCTTCCGAGGGAGTGCTGCTCTGTCCTATGGGGTCATTTATGAGTCAAAATTGACTTGATAGCACACAAAAAGAAGTGATATTTTTCCCTTTAATTGTGAAAAGGAGACACAGAAACTGGTCTTGTGTAAGTTTTAAAGGAGGCAGCCTATGCCAGAAGCCAGTTCATATGAATGTACTTAAGATATTTGATTTAAACAATGGCTGTATTCCTGAAGGCTTGTACCAAGTGTGGCAGTACAGTCTATGGGCATCAGAAGAACCCTCACAGTTTGCAAGTATTTTGATGCCAATCACTGCTCTACTTTCTTATTTCATTCTCATGACATGGTAGCCAACCTTCTTCTCCACTGTGTTTGGTAAAATAGAAAGAGTCCCCTTAAAACCCCAAATAGCTACTCAGGGTATAGAGGAGAGAATTATGGGAGTTGAAATCAATCAAACACAGGTTGGAGCCCCGTTCCGCAACTGAACGGCATGCGGCATGTGCTAGGGGAAGCTATCTGACCCAAATCACAGCTTCCTCACTTGAAAATGAAAACAAGGATAGAGATTTGAAGCCATACACATTTGTAACTCAAATGAGACCTTGCACTTCAAGGTCACCAACACTATTGGCAGTATTGATGTTCCTTTCCAATCGCGGTCCCTTTTTAATTAACTAATTAATTAACTCACTAATTAACTTCATTTTTGAGGTTTTTAATAACAGAAAAATAGATCATATTTCCCCCTGTATTTCAGGCCCTTGAACTGACTGTTTCTCTTGGTGCCCTTCCAGGGGCTGAACTATGGTGTGTAGAAAGAGGTCTCTTTCTTGGTGGGTCATGAAAACCACCCGCTGCTATTTTCTGGGTAAAACACCATGGGAACCTAGAGGTGCATGCCCAGGGACACGGCAAGAGAGGGTAAACAGCCGTCTATTCCTGCTAGCTGCTGAGGCATGCATCTGGGGAGGAAGTGGAAAATCCATGTGGGATGTGCCAAAACACAGCTTAAATTGGCTCGCGTATCCCAAACGGCCCAACTGCTTTTATCAATGGTGTTCTCCAAAGCAGTCAAAAACCATTTTGCCAAACTTCACTGTCAGTTGCATTTGAGGAGAGGAAGTTACAGATGCAGTTCAGAATATTTTCAGAACCAATGACCTGTATCAGAACCTTCACCCAGAGGAAGCATTTTTATGTGAGAAATAGCTTTATTTTAAGAAGCATCAAAATCCCAACATGCTTTGCGAAGTCGTGGTGGGGCGGCGCCATTGGTACCTGAATTACACAAACAAGCACAAAGACCACCCCAGAAGAGCAGGAAACGAGCTGGATCTTGCACGGCCCCTTTTGTCCCACAAGGAGTCCTGCGTATCCCTGGGGATGCCGCGATGAGCAATGGTGACCAAGTCCGGAGTACTGACATGTGCCTAGGAACTGATGTCCGTTATTACCTAATTTTATTTTAATGCATTTCCAGGAAGGAATGTGAAACAACCAACGGAACCAAAAAAAAAACCATTGCCAGCAAGTCGCTCCCAACTCATGGCAACCCCTTGTGTTAACAGAGTAGAACTGCTTTGTACCGTTTTCTTGGCTGGAATCTTTATTTACGGAAGCATATTGCCAGGCCTTTCTGTCACGGTGCCACACAGTGGGCACCGTTAACCTTTCGGTGAGTGGTTACATGCACGCTGCTCGGGCCACTAACAGACCTGGTGCAGAATATCATGGCCCTATTAACCGCTCAGGCTTTTGGCTCTTACTCCTTCGCTGGGCTCTTCTAGCCAGTGAGTACCCCTCTGGGAAGGCGAATGCAGCCAGATTTCAGAGGCCAGACCCTGACCGTGGCCCTTGCTCTGCTTTTGGAAATAAACCTGGGCCCGCCCTCTGGAGCCCTTAGTCCATTGCAGCACCGGTGCTGTGAGCAGCCCCTGTGGGGAACATGCAGGGTGTTTGCAAAGGAGCTGTGAGGGGTCTCCCCTGGACTCCAAGGGCCCCTGGAGAAAATGGCATCTAACGAAGCCTGGAGAACGAGTCAGAGTTGGTAACGCAGAGGAAGGAGTAAAGGAAAAGAAGTGCGGAGGGGAATCTAGACGAGGGAGTGAATCTAGCTCAGGATGGCTGGGCCTGAGGCTAAGCCTGGAGAACCGGGGCTGAGAGGCAAGTGTGGAGGTCAGGTTCTTGTTTCCACGTTCGCCCTAAATCATCTTTAACCCCTAGACTGTGGACATCCTGGCCGCAGAGAACTGGTGTGAGAATAAAATCAAATAATGATTATACAACCCTTCTTGATATGACTGAACTATTGAATTGTATGGTATGTGGTTACATGCCAATTAAACTTTAAAATAAAATTGTAAAAATTAAATAATATGGATTTAACTACACTATGGGTATTACTTTTCGTGTTTAGCTGCCATTCGAATGGAAGCAAAACAAATAAAATTTAGCTCAATTGTTTTTCATCCGCAGAAAATATCTTCATGTACAACTTCTCCTACAATTTTCTCCTGCCCTTAAGGAGTAAGCGACAGGCAGGCAGTTATATAGTTTACATCCATAGCTCAATTCTGCCAGATAGTTAACTCATGGAAATTCACCATGTGCAAGTCGTATTTCTATTCGCCAGGCCTCAGCTATTCCATCCATAAGTTGTTGTTGTTCAGTGCTGTTGAGTCTGTGTCAACTCACAGTAACCCTACAACCCGATGAAACACTACCTGGTCCTGTGCCATCCTCACAACTGTTCTTATGTTCGAGCCCATTGCTACAACCACGATGTCAGTCCATCTTGTCCAGGATCTTCCTCTTTCTTGCTGCCCCCCCCCACACACCCCCGCCTTTACAAAGCTTAGTGTCCTTCTCCGGGGACTGGTCTCTCCTGATCATATGTCCAGAACATGTGAGATGAAGCCTCACCATCCTTGCTTTTTTTTTTTTGAACAGCCCCCCCATCCTTGCTTATAAGGACATTCTGGCTGTACTGCTTCCAAGGTTGGTTTGTTTTTGCTTTTGGTCTATGGTGCTTTTAATATTCTTCTCCAGCAACACAGGGAATCCAGGGCGGATGATCCCTTCAGGACCAGTGGTGAGAGTGGTGATACCGGGAGGGTGGAGGAAGGGTGGGGTGGAAAGGTGGAACCGATTACAAGGCTCTACGTACAACCTCCTCCCTGGGCGATGGACAACAGAAAAGTGGGTGAAGGAGATGTCGGACAGTGTAAGATGACAAAATAATAATAATTTAAAAATTATCAAGGGTTCATGAGGGAGGGGAGAGCAAGGAGGGAGGGCTTAAGTAGAAAACTTACCAAGGGCTCAAGTAGAAAACAAATGTTTTGAGAATGATGATGGCAACAAATGTACACATGTGCTTGACATAATGGATGTATGTATGGATTGTGATAAGAGTTGTATGAGCCCCCAGTAAAATGATTTTAAAAATATTTTTCTCCAGTGTGAAAGTTCAAATGCATCCATTTTTCTTCAGTCTGCCTTATCCAATGTCCAAATTTCACATGCGTATAAGGTAATTAAAATGTCATGTCTTGGGTCAAGGGCACCTTAATCCTCAAAGTAACATCTTTGCTTTTCAACTCTTTAAAGAGGTCTTGTGCAGCAGACTTACCTAGTGCAATGTGTCATTTGATCTCCTGACTGCTGCTTCCATGAGCATTGATTGTGAGTCCAAGAAAGACAAAATCCTTGACCGCTTCCATCTTTTCTCCATTTATCACGATGTGACCCTTTGGTCCACTTGAGGGGAATTTTGTTTTCTTGACATTGAGTTAATCCATACTGAAGGCTGTGGTCCTTGATTTTCAACAGCATGCGCTTCACGTCCTCCTCATTTTCAACCAGCGAGGCCACGTCATCTAATTATCACAGCTTGTTAATAAGCCTTCTTCCAGTCCACATCCTTTGCCACATAACGCAGCTTCTCTGATGCTGTGTTTCACATTCAGAGCGAATAAGAATGGTGAGAGAATTCCACCCTGATGCACACCTGTTCTGATTATCGACCATGCTGTCTTCCCTTGTTCTGTTCACACAGCTGCCTCTTGAACCATCTATAAGAGAGAGCTTCAAAACGTTTGTAAGAAGGTCCCATTATCTTTCAATTCTGTGTTGTTGTTTTTTCTTCACACACCTTTTGATACTCTCTTCCACAGTGAGGTAGTGGAACGCTACAGTCGCTTCCAGTGCTAACCTTTGATAATATCGGGGAGCAGGCAAGTGTCTCTGGATTCTGTTTGTGAGCGTCAAATCCTAGCTCGTGTCTGTACCTGCTTGTGATCATGGATAGGTTGCTTCACTTCTCTTTACCTAAATGTTATAATTTGTGTCATTAGGATCAAAATAGAACTACCTTCATGGGATATTATGAAAATCAAATATGTGTTAGCTGCTTAGAGCAATGCCTAGTTAATACTAACACCCGCATCGCCACCATAAAAAGAAATGAATTGCCAATTCCAACTCATAGCAACCTAGGAAAATCCCAACTCACAGGACAAAGTACAACTGCACCACAGGCTCTCTCAGGCTATAATTTTTACAGAGGCAGACTGCCCGATCATTTTCCCACGGATCAGCTGGTGGGTTTGAACTGCTGATCTTTTGATCAGCAGCCACGCAGTTAGTCGCGGTGCCACCAACGTGGTGATTGTTTTGTGATCCAGTCCAGGCACGTCATGGGATCATGTCTACTACATGTGAAATGGGATCCATGGACCTGTGTTATTGGAAGGCCCCAAATGCAACACAAAGCTTGGTCCTTTCATTGGTACCGAGCAGAGACACATCAGCCTGGAAACAGTACACCAGGTGGCCGTGTGGATGGAGATCCACGACCAGCAGTGGAATTCTGGCATGCCTGGGTGCCTACCAGCGACAACTGGTGCTTATGAGTCACAATGTGTGAAATAAAGGAGAGCCACAGAGCGGGAGGGGGCATGCTACAGTGGCATTGAGCCTGGAGGAGAATCCCAGTTTCCTTTCAGAATACAGTGCTGAGAGTGTGAAGTCCCACAGTCAGCTAAAGAACGTTCATACAAAGAGTCAGGAAATACAAACAAAGCACCTAGAAAAAAAGTAACAAAATGAGCTGCTCAGAAAAAAATTCTTATAGTGTGGAGCTTGTCCCAGAGAGTGAATGTGGTAGGACAGCTAAATGGGACACCTGGCCAACGTGAGATAATAAGCCATAACTGACTTCTGCCTGCCCCACAGCTTGCCTTCCTTCCCTGGCTGATCCCCTCTTAGTACTGTCCAGAAAGCTGCCACTTATGTGCACTTTAGAAATGTTACCCATCAGGGCTACCACTTATTTATATTTGGAAAGGATGCTGACATTTTCTGAGCCCAGGTTTGACTAAGCAACCTTGGTGGTGCAGTGGGTTAAGTGTTGGGCTGCTAACCACAAGGTCAGTGGTTCAAATCCACCAGTCACTTCCAGGAGGAAGGTGAGGTTATATGCTTCCATAAAGATGTATAATCTGAAATATCAGTCACGGCTGCGTGGCCACCAGACTGGTGAGGTTCTGGTGGCTGAGTCCTTGCTTTTGGCCACTGAAGACCTGTAACCTGCCCAAATCAAGAATGCTTGATTTTATCAATAAGGCCAAATGGGGCATGTGATAGTTAGGTTGATTGTGCCAACTAGGTCAATAGGAAAATGTGAGTGGAGTTTGGTCAGGTCACAGCTTGATTGGAGGGCAAGCAAGATAAATGAAGACAGGCAACATCCCATTTCCCTCTTCCTCCCTGGCGATCAGACCAGGGTGCTGCTGCTTTAGCTAGTTCTCTGCTTCAACCTGTGTGCCACACTACCTGTGGGCCAAGCCACCCATGGATCATGCTGGTAGAGCTTGAGGCTCCTTCAAGACCTGCTTCCCAAATGCTAGTGAGCACATTGCTTGAGCTTGAGGCTGGTGGATTTTGTCACCATGCATTGCTTGAGTTGGAGATGGTATCAGGCCTGCTTTGCTAAGCTCCTGTGCTACTGATACTACCCTGCTGTCTGCTGCCTGCAGGCAGACTCGGCCTGTCTTGCCTGACGGAAGACTCTGCTGTCTGCTTCCTTGACCTAGGACCCAGAAGCCCACCTGAGCTGAAAACACTTCCAGCATATTACTGGTAACTGTTCCACAAAAGTGAGTTGAACTGAGCACGCTGTACTGCTGTGTGAACTAATGAGCTGTTATATCCCTTCTCATGGTATAAACAAACAAACAAATATACTATATATATAAATTATATAGATATACATATATAAAATCATACATGTCCTGGTTTGGGTTCTTTAGAGAACCCTGCCTAATATAGGGCACAGGGAATGCTTTTGGCAATCTCTCCAAGAAAATGGCCAAGCAGAGCTATGTGGATTTCATGTCCGAATTCAGGTCAGCCAAATCCCCCAGTCAAGGGGAAGCTGGTGCCGGGAGTACACAGTCTGGATATGACACCCTTGTGGTAACCTCAGAAGACTGCATCACAAAAGCCATGCTCAAGCTCCCCTCCAAAACAAAACCAAAAAAGGCACTCCATCATAAAGTGTATCCAGAACGCATACTTGCACTTGAAGCAGCCGTTAGGGATGACTCAGCTGTCACCGTGAGAAGAGGAAGTGGTGACCATTACTGTAGTGGAAATGACCCGAACGACTTAGCCATGATGACGGAGAGAAAGGCGCTCAAATGCTGCCATTTGGCTGAGGGGTTTTGTAGGTTGTTTTATAGATGTCCCTAAGCTGCTGGTTGCCATGGTAAATGGCCCAGCTGTGGGGATCTCCTTCGCCCTTCTTGAGCTATTTGATGTCGTATATGTTTCTGACAGGGCGAGGTTTCATAGCCGTTTGAGTCCTTTGGGTCAGAGTCCAGAAGGATCCTGTTCTCACAGCTTTCCAAAGAGACGGGACTCAGCCAGAGCAGCCGAGATGCTCATTTTGGGAAAGAAGAAAACAAGAGAAGCCTGTGCTCAAGGACTTGCCACTGAAGTGTTTCTTGATGGCGCTTTTCAGAAAGACGTTTGGACCAGGCTCAAAGAAGAGGCAAAGCTTCCTCCCAGTGTCATGAGAATGTCAAAGCATCTTATCAGAAGTACGGAGAAAGGTAAGCTACATGCTATTATTTCTGAAAAAAGCTGTGTCGTCCAGGGCAGATGGCAGTCGGACAAATGTACAAATGCACGCATGGACTTCTTATCTGAGAAAGAAAAGCTGTGATAACAGTTACAACCAAGTTCAGTACATCAAGGGGGAGGCCTGTGATATTCTGAATTCTCATATTTGAACTAAATAAACTTCCATGGTGCCATTTTTCAGTGCTAATATATTTCGATGACAATTATATTTCATTAAAACCACCAGCCGACAATAAAACCATGAAAAATGAAAAACAACAAACAAGAAAAAAACCACTAGCCGAGATCCTTGGAGACAGATGACGCTGGCTGCTCCTGGAAAGATTTACAGCCTCCGCAACCCTAGAGAGGGTCCCTGTGAGTTAGAATCTACTTGGTAACAGCAGTTTGGGGTTTTTAAGAGCCCTAATGGGGAAACTAACTATGTAGACTAAGCTTTAAGGATGTACATAGGAGCCTTACATCTTTCGACACGGACTGTTGTGCAAGCACAGTGAAACAGTGTGCTGGCCTCCTGCTTTGAAAACATCCCCAACACTCCAGGCTGAGGTCATCGCCTTAAACACCGCGAGAGCTCGGTGTCCGCCCACAACTTGCAAATGACTGGATGGGTCCAAACTTGGGCCGTTTGTGGATGATGGACTGAAGATCCCGAACCATCTAACAAGGAAGCAAATGAAAGCTTTGTATGACTGGACAAGAAATCCAAGTCTTGGGTTATTTTCTTTTCGTAATTTAAGAAAGATGCATGAAGGAAAATAAAAAAGATGTATCATCTCAAGAAGTGTTCAACTCTGTCCGACAGGGTCTCGATGTGTCAGAATCGACTAGACCAAAGGTCAACAGTAATCGGGAAGCAAAGATCAAGGGAAGCTGGAAATTAGAGTCCGGGAACAAAAGCAACCAGAACACAGTTACAAAAAATGTTGACACATTGTGAGAAATGCAACTAATGTCACTGGACGCGTAGGGTGTAAGTTGTCAAATGGAACTGAATTTGCTGTGTAAACTTTCACTAACACCTTATTTAACCAAGTAAAGATGACCTCCATCCATTATTTTTAGAAAACATTTGTTTTCTGTTAAGAATATTGGAACAACTTCTTTTAGTTGTTGCTATTGTTGGGTACTGCGAGTATGTGTTTTTCTGCCCCTCGCTACGAAACCTTACATGTCATGATGCTTATGGTGTTACTCATGAAGAATATGTTGTTGCCGTTGACTTGGTTCTGACTGATAGCAACCTCAGGTATAACAGGATGAAACACTGAAAATGCCTGGGAGAGCCTCACTACTGGTGTATTTGAGACCATTGTTGCAGCTGTAGTGTCAATTCATCTCTCAAGGGCTTTCCTCTTTTTCTCTGACCTTCAACTTCAACAAGCATGGTGTCCTTTCTCAGGGACAGCCCTTTCCTGATAACGGATCTAAAGTGTGTGAGACAAAGTCTCGCTGTCCTTGCTGTCAAGGAGCATTCTGGCTGCACTTCCTCCAAGATAGATTTATTTCTTCTTCTGACAGCCCATGCATGGTAGGTCAACAGCCTTTGCCAACACAATGCACCAAAGTCAAAGTCATCTGTTCTCCTCCGGTCTTTCTTCCTCCTCATGAAGACGTGAAAAAGTCAAGGAATTTATAGCCTATTTCTTACATTTTTTTCCGGAGATTCTCTGACTTCTAACAGATATTTGGCATGCATTGTCCATTTTATTCTGCCCTTTCTGTATGCCAGGGTCTTTCTTTGAAGCATCTTTCCTCTTTCCTGCCTTTGGTTGGATTGCATTTCCCCTCCTTTATTCCTGCCTACCAGCCGTATTGAAGGAAGCTGGATATTCTATTTGTTTTCTTTTTCCGTGGTGACCTTTACATCTTTAACATTGATTCAATACAGCTTCCAATCTATGGCCCCTGATCCTTGCAGTTGTGGCTTTATTTAGAACGTGAGGCACATTTAAGGAATTCACAGTCTTAGAAGCACAGCTGGAATGCTCCCTAGAAACAAGGAGGAGGAGACTTTGTCGCAGGTACTTTGGACATGTTATCAGGAGAGAGCAGGCTGTGGAAAAGGACTTCGTGCTTTGTAAAATGGAGGGGCAGCAAAAAAGAAGGAAGACCCTCAACAAGATAGATTGATAGAGAGGATGCAAACAAAAGAACAGGTGTGAGGATGGCCGGGCAGTGTTTCCGTATGCTGTGCACAGGGTCGCTCTGAGTAGAGTGGACTTGATGGCCCCTAGCAACAGCAAAGAGATGCTCCAACTGGTATGGCCTGGAGAGTCTTAAAAGATTTTTTTTGAACATTTTATTAGGGGCTCATACAAATGTTATCGCAATCCATACACACATCAATTGTGTAAAGTGCATTTGTACATCATTCTCAAAACATTTTCTCTCCAGTTAAACCCCCGGCATTAGGTCCTCCTTTTTCCCCTCCCTCCCCGCTCCCCCCTCCCTCATGAGCCCTTGATAGTTTATAAATTGGTATTTTGTCATATCTTGCCCTGTCCGACTCTCCCTTCACCCACTTTTCGGTTGTCTGTCCCCCAGGGAGGAGGTCACATATAGTTCCTTGTAATCGGTTCCCTCTTTACTACCCACTCTCCCTTTACCCTCCTTGTTTCGCCACTCACACCACTGGTCCTGTATTTTCAGTTCCTATCTGTACCAGTGTACATCCTCTGTACCAGTGTACATCCTCTGTCTTAAAAGATTTTATTCACACATATTGTCTAATAAACCCAGGGACTCAGGCATGATCCAAACCTGACACAGAGACTGATGCTTCCCAATATGTATTATAAGTCAAGGATGCAATAACTTTCCCCAGTATTGTCTACTCTCATAACTCTATCTGTTCATATATATAATAGAAGGGTAGAAGCCAAAGTGTTCATTTTCATACTAGCCTTATTCTTTAATATCATATGATTTATATTATTAATAATAAGTCTAAAATTCTACTAATCCCATTTAAATATGCTTGGAGGCATTCTGAAGCCATTATCATTATCTGGGAGAACAATAACAACAAAACAAAACGACCGGGGGAAAATCCATTTGGTAAGGGTCTAGCACCAGTCACGTACTTCTCTACTTTGGTAGAGATTGGAGCAAGATGACAGATTCATGGACAATATCATTTATAGTTCATCAGATCTTATTTGATCATAAATGTTATTTCCCCAATTAATTATATGACGAAATTGCATCTGTGTGTGCACACTTGCATTTTCACAAAGGAAGAGACCGTGCCTTTCATCAGATTATTCAAAGGGCAGATAATCCAAAACTGATCTGCCCCCACTGGTTTCATCCTGTAAAAGCCAACGGACTCTGGCCAGGTGCCATCTTCTGAAACGCCAAGGTCAGTGGCTCCTGAAGAGACCGTGTGACCTCCTTTTGGTAATTTTTCTCTCTGTCTTTTAAAAGCTTCCTTCCTCCCAGCTACTTTAACGCTGACTGTGGACAAGGGAGACAACGTGAACATATCTTTCAAGAAGGTGTTGATGAAAGAAGAAGATGCGGTGATTTACAAAAATGGTGAGTGTGTCTTTTATCTCTTTCCAACCCCACAGTGTGAGACAGAGCAGGCTCCTTTTCCTACCGTAGTTCTTGGGAGATGTTGGACCTATATTGCCATGAGGCAAGTTTATCAAATCCCTTAAGAGAAACTGCCCTTCTAGGTAATGTGTTTGGTTACTGAGTCAAATTAATTAAGTTGAGGACACATGGACATATACTTGAGGTATGTCTGCACAATTTTAAAAAACCCATCATGATATGATAAGTGGGGTCCCAAGTGCAGTCAAATACAATGTGTATTGATTTGCTCTGAGACTAAGTAAATGATCAAAAGGAACCCAGCAGCTGTTCTGGGAGCTTCCATGTACAATCCAAATCGGTCTGGGACCCTTCTATGGTTAGACACCACCCAGTGGCAGTTGCCTAGTTGAAACAGTGATGGGGATAATTCTGAGCTTTGTAGTGGATAGGCCTTTCAGGCCAGAGCCTCCCGACATTAGTGGGCAGGATTACTTGGCAGTTCCCACAAGAGAATCACTCACTTCTCTACGCTCCCTCCTCTTTGCAGAAGAATATTGTGCTTGGCGGCAAGACTTCAAAATGATGTCTGTTGTATCCCCGGGCCTTTCATGCCTGCTTGGAGCACGTGGATGATTGCAGACTTGTCATGCTGCTCCCACAGGCAGTTTGCTCGGGCACATCTTCTCTGCCAGGGCAGGAAAAGTGATTCAAATGGAGGGGCCAGGCAACTGGAGTGTTTACCCGTGCGTGACCTGTTGTTCTCCGCTCTTACCAGGTTCCTTCATCCATTCAGTGCCTCGGCACGAGGTCCCTGACATTTTAGAAGTGCACCTGCCATATGCTCAGCCCCAAGATGCTGGAGTATACTCGGCCAGGTACATCGGAGGAAACCTCTTCACCTCAGCCTTCACCAGGCTGATCGTCCGCAGTAAGTGATTGACAGGCCATCACAACTGGTGGAATAGTTGCTAGGATTTTTCAAGTAACAGAAAATGACTCAGGCTAGCTTAAGCAAAAAGCAGGGACCGTTTGGAAGGAGACTAACAAACTTCCAGCGATCTGGGCTCAGCAGTGGAAGGTGGAAGTCCTTCCTATCTAGGGTGTTACCAGGACCATAACTCATCCTATAAGGTTTCTTTTACTTTCGGTTTTGAATTTCCAGGAGAAAGAATCTGATTGGTCTAATATTGGTCAGATGTCTAGCCTCTAAACCAATCAGCTGTAGAGATGAGTGGAGTTGCCTAGTACAGTTCCGGCCCTAGGAGCTCAGATCTGTTTGGTCGATCCGCTCCATAAAATGAGGTCTGGGCAGTCTCCTGGAATTGGAGGGTGAGTGAGGGCTCCTGAGTTGGCGTAATATCTAGTTAATCATCAAGTTCTCTGTAAATGTCATGCTTTTTGTTATGTTAAGCTTTGAAAAAATGCAAGGGTTATAACCAATGAGACCTTTTAAAAAAATGATCTTATGGTATTTACCAAAGTGGAGTGTAAACATCACCACTGTTTTTTAATTTTTGCTAGGAACTGGTTTATAAGAAACAAAAAGACCTAATAATTCTGCTGACTTTGCTCAGCAATGCCATCTATTCATGATATTAACTACCAAGATTGCTCTGTCATTTCTCTCAATGGTAGGGTCTCTAATTCAGGAAGATGGTATTTTTTGCTTTACTGTATGTTGTCTAATGAAGGCAACAGCAGCTGTTGTCCCCAGCTCTGTGCCAGGCACTGTGCTATGCTGGGAATGCAAAGGTAATCGAACAACCCCTCCCTGGTAGGTTGTTCCCAATCAGAGCGCATCGATACTTAAGGGGATGTACAGGTGTTCCTATATGGCAAGCAAAGGACAAAGAGTTCATATGGTTTTAGGCCCCACACAAAGTCACCTTTGAGGGTATAAAATACAGCTAGGTATTTTTCAGGCAGGCCTTTTTGAGAAGCACTGAAAAGAATCAACCTATATATGCCTAGATCTGTTTCCTCTTGAATATCTTGAATAACTATTGTGCTTGTCTCCTATTAAATGTCAGACAAAAAGCCTTTTAGCAAAATCAACCCTTTAAACTATATACAGGGTTTATGATGATGCCACCATTTCACGACCCAGCCTCCCAGACAAAAACAAAAACACAGAAAGATCCAGCCTCCAACAGCTGGCGTCACACTTACCTCCCCCGGATGTGATGATTCTGTGACGGTAGGAAAGAGAGTCTGGGAAAGCCCACCTTGATTCCTCTCCCAGGACAGTCCCAGCCACAAGGGAGTAGTAATTTCCAGTGAGTTCCATACATTTATTTCAGTTACGGAGCTTTCCTTTGGTCTGACAGAGCTCTGAATACCAGATATCCAGTCTCCACAACTCATGAGGACCCCCTGTTGGCACCATGATTAAGAGCCTGGCTGCCATCTGGAAGGTTGGCGCTCTGAGTCCATCCAGAGGTGACTTGTATGAAAGGCCTGGTGACCTACTGCTGAAGAATCAGCACTTGAAAACTCTGGGGAGCACGATCCTCCTCTGACACATGGGTCGCAACAGGCGGGAATCCAGTGATGGCATCTGTAGGGCCCTTCAGAAGCCAGAGGAAGTGGGCTACGTTTTACAAGTGTCAGATGTTCATAATTACATGATAAAATGCACCAAGTCTTTTTTAATGCCAAGACAAACATGACTGAGGGCTATTACCTATGGCAAGATTCACCTGAAATTCTAAGGTAAAGCAAAAGGCTTCAAACACATTTTATCTTCAATTTGTCTCTTTTTCCAATTGCTAGAAATACATATTCATTTGTCTCTGCTGTTAGGCGGTGTTTCCATGAGAGGGCTGAGGAGCACTCTACTCTCTAAGGTCTGATTTCCAAAAGAGTTTGAGTTGAGTCGTAACCATCCCATTTAAGATGATTTATATTTCCAAGGAGGAGGTCTTTGATCAGAAATGAGGGAGAGTTGAAGGCATTTATCTTGGGATCTCTCTAGTAGGACTTGAAGCCCAGGCAAAGTTGTTCCTTAAAGATTGGTATTAAAAATCCAATTGGTTATATTTATAAATTTCTTCTCACCATGAACCCTCTCTCTGACAAAAGATTTTCCACAAGCACTAAATGTATATGGTATCTCCATGTAGTCCGTGAATACGTGGTTTCTTAAACTACGAGCTCACAAGATTTTTTGAAGAAAATAACAAAAGCTTAACTGCCTACCTGTTGTCCACTAACAAACTCTTTTCCTGACTTCCCCACCCCCAACAAACATCCCTTTCCAATAGATCCCTAAGGGTTCATTTTTTCATCTTTCCCAGAAGAAGCTAGGAAGCTGGGACAGGTTTACGGCGAGGCACAGGGATAAAGACAGTTTCATGTAACAGGAGGCCTATTTTCATCTCCATTATCTGCTGCCATTAATTTTTACCCTGCTCAGAAATCCTGTGGTCTGCTTCTCAAGCAATCGCAAATAAATGATGTAAAAGCTCCCGCCCTTAGATGTTACTATCTATAAATGTTAGCTTTTAGATATTCTGCAGCTTTATCTATTAAGTGGAAGGCTGTAAGAGAAGGTCTATGTTGACAGCCTTCCTGATTAGTTTTGAGAAAATACCGATAACAGAAGTTATTGCCAGAGAAGCTATAAGGCACCGGTCCAAGCTTATCACCAAGAGACTAACATTCTGGAACAGAAATGCTAATTCCTTTCAGATGAGAAGTGCCACTCAGTTCCTAACAAGCAAGGGTCATCAAGCCCCCTAGGTTTTCCTTATCCTTGAACATACTTAACAACTGAGGACATGCTGACCCTGGTCTCAAGTAAATTGCCAAGGGAGGGAGAAAAGGAGCCAGGACTACGTAAGCCCGTAGGCGGTTTTCCATCCTTGCACATTAGGTTTGGTGTATTTTTTTCATTCCTTATATATTTTCCACCTGAAAGATAAATGAATACTATTAGCTCCTCCTTCCCCCTTTTGCCTTATTCCTTCTCAACCTTTTAGTACAAGAGGATTTCAAAATGTTTTAGAAGTATTCCTTTATCTTTTTTGTTCCATTTTCCCACAAACTTTTGGAAGCCCTATTTAATATGGCTGGGATCACTTGAAGAGCCAGTTAAGCATAGATGGCTGCGCCAACTCTCAGTTTCCCATTCAGGAGCTGCGGTGGGGTCTGGGACTTCATTTCTAATAGGTCCCAGAAGATGGCAGTGTTCCCAATAGGGGTCACACATTGAGACCGTCCACTCATACCTGCAGTTCCTGGAACATGCCATTGCTTTGCCTGGAATACCTTCTCCAGTCTTATCTTCTTTGCTACCAATGCAGGTGGTACAGATTTAGTGCCCATACCACACCCTCTGGGAAGACTTCCTTCATACCATCCTCCATCCCCCAAGTCAGAATTAGGTACCCCTCATCCTTGTTTCTATATCATTTTGTGTTTACAAGTCAGTTTTCCAAATTAGACTATGAGTTTCAAGAGCGCAGAGACGATAGTTTATTTATCTTTGTATACCAGTGTCCAGGGAAATGAGTGACATATAGTAAGTGCTCATGAAATATCTGTAGAGTGAATACCTTCCACTCATCCCAGCCTTGCTTTCCTTAACAAAAGGATGTGAAGCTCAGAAGTGGGGACCTCAATGCAACCGTCCTTGCACAGCATGCAGGAACAATGGTGTCTGCCACGAAGACACGGGCGAGTGCATTTGTCCTCCTGGATTTATGGGGAGAACATGTGAGAAGGGTAAGTCAGGTGTACTTGCGAAACTATACATGTATCAAAGTGTACTGCGCAGGTTGACCAGACCAGCATTGCTGGATCTAGAATTCTAGCTATCTGGATACAGATAGCGATGGAAGCATAATGGTAGCTAGACCACATGGCTCCTCCTTCATATGAATTTTTGGAAGCTACCTTTCCTTCAGGACTCTTTATTACAGTCACTGGGAAGTTCCTGTAATGATAAATCTGAACAGCTAGACTGCAGTTGTTCTCAACCTGTGGGTCGTGACCCCTTGGGGGTTGTCAAATGACCTTTTCACAGGGGCCACCCAATTCATAACAGGAGCAGAATGACAGTTATGAAGTAGCAACAAAAATAATTTTAAGGTTGGGGGGTCACCACAGGAACTGTATGAAAGGGTTGTGGCATTAGGAAGGTTGAGAACCACTACTCCGGAGGTTTGACAAGTGTTAACTTGGGTAAAGGTGAAAGCAATATAAAATCGAAGGACATTAAGGAAAAATGATGGCAGGGAAGACATGGAGAGGCTTGTAAGAGTCAATGGAAACAGAGGCAAATACTGTTACGCAGACAATCCCGAAACAGTGGTGATCGACAAACAGATGTGTGGATAGAAACACGGGCTGGAAAGGTGAGGGGAAATCAAATGTGAGGATATGAGTAGATTTGACAAGGATATTTTTGCATGTGTATTTCCCTTTGCTGCAAATATACCCTCGAACGTGATGGCGCACGCAAGGGCAATGTTTTGCAAAGTTCTCAGACATAATACCTTAAGGAAATGAGTTGCTGGGCCAAGGAGGCTCAGGACACCAAGGTCAATTGGCATAATAACATGGTTCACAAAGACACTTACATCCTAATTAGCTGAATGGGGGCTGGGGTCTTAACAATTCATGCACTATCCTCTAATGCACATCTATTGGTCTATTGGAGGAAAGTAGTCTATAGTGATGAAAACCAATAGATACAAGGAAATAATTAGCCCAATGGACTAAGGGACCACACAAACAACAGTCTCCATGAGCTTGAGATCAGAATAATTAGATGGTCCCTGGCTACCACTGTTAACTTCTCTGAAAAGGATCACATTAGAAAGTTCTGAACACCGTGGGGGGAAATGTGGAACAGAAACTCATAGATAGACCAGGCTTATTGGTTGTGTAGAGAAGGGTGGGACCACTAGGTCATGCCCTCCCCCTCCAGGTTTGGAGATGAGCTCATCTAGGCATGAGAACAATCAACCCTTCATAATCAAAAGGCTGCACCTGCCCAAGGACAGGGTTCAGAAAGGAGGGATGGGAACAGGAAATACAGGGAGGATGCAGGATAAGTGATGATGTGCTGAAAGGATTGCAACTGACAAGTTGGAACAAAAAGTGTATAAACTGTTGGGTGAAAAGGACAGTTCTGTAAAGCTGCACTGACTTCACAATGAAAGAGCGTTTTCAAGAAAAATGTGTAACCTATGATGTGAGTGCCATCCCTCGATTGATGCACAACTACACAACTACAACTGGTAGCCTGTGAGGCTGTTTCATCATCTGCTCACACCACAGCTAGGATGGGACTGTTTCCATACGCCTGCATTAGAGGAGACCCTTTAAAAGAAGAATCGTGTATTTCAAAGAGTTGTATTTTTCAAAAAGTTTTCTTGGCACGTCATCCACATATCATACAGTTCAATCATATCAGGAGGAGTTGTACAATCATTACCATCATCAATGTTAGAACATTTTCTTCCTCTTTGTACTCATTATTATTAGCGTAATTATTGTTATTGTTTTAATTGTGGCAAAATTGTATACAACACATTCTCCAATTCAAGAACTTCTACAAAAATAATTCAGTGCCATTCATTATAAAGAGTTGTGTGTGTGTGTGTGTGTGTGTGTGTGTGTGTGTGTATATATATATATATATATGTCTCAAATATATATATATATATTACTGTGAATCACCTCCCCCCCAACCCACCCCCCTCCCTTAAAGCTTGTGAGCGGCACGCATTTGGCAGAAGCTGCAGAGAACGCTGCAATGGCCCAGAGGGATGCAAGTCCTACGTGTTCTGTCTCCCAGACCCTTATGGGTGTTCCTGTGCTGCAGGCTGGAAGGGTCTACAGTGCAATGAAGGTATGTATGTTCACCTTTGGATATGTGCCAATAGCACCTATGAACTGATGATTCTTTAGTAGGTGCACAAAGGAGAGCCACTTCACAGGAATCACATGTGGTTTAGAGTCTAGGATGTTCCTTGGCTACTCCGTCACCTCTCTGTTTTGAATCAGAGACATTTTCATCCAAAGTTCGTTACACTGTCACATTCAGACTCTGGCCAGCATCACCTGGGGGATCTTATTACTACACAGATTTTGATTGAACGGGTCTGGGAGGAGGGCCTGAGAGTCCACATTTCTTTTCTTTTTTAAATCATTTTATTAGGGGCTCATACAACTCTTATCACGATCCATACATACATCAATTGTGTAAAGCGCATTTGTACATTCATGGCCCTCATCATTCTCAAAACATTTGCTCTCTACTTAAGCCCCTGGCATCAGGTCCTCATTTCCCCCGCTCCCTTCCTGCTCCCCACTCCCTCATGAACCCTTGATAATTTATAAATTATTATTTTGTCATATCTTGCCATGTCTGACGTCTCTCTTCACCCACTTTTCTGTTGTCCATCCCCCAGGGAGGAGGTCACATGTAGATCCTTGTAATTGATTCCCCCTTTCCAGCCCCTCCTCCCTCCACCCTCCTAGTAGCGCCACTCACACCGCTGGTCCTGAAGGGAGCATCCACCCTGGATTCCCTGTGTTTCCAGTT